GAAATTAACTTTATGTCCTGAATACAAAGTGTTATGTTAGGGGCAAATCCAACACATCACATCACTGAGTACCACTCTCGATATTTTCAAGCATGGTGGTGGCTGCATCATGTTATGGGTATGCTTGTCATCGGCAAGGACTAGGAAGTTTTTCAGGATAAGAAGAAATGGAATGGAGCTAAGCTCAGGCAAATTCCTAGAGGAAAACCTGGTTCAGTCTGCTTCCCAACAGACACTGGGATACAAATTCACCTTTCAGCAGGACAATAACCTAAAACACAAGGCCAAATATACACTGGAGTTTCTTACCAAGAAGACAGTGAATGTTCCTGAGTGGCTGAGTTACAGTTTTGACTTAAATCGGCTTGAAAATCTATGGCAAGATTAGAAAATGGCTGTCTAGCAATGATCAACAACCAACTTGACAGAGCTAGAAGAATTATAAAAAGAATAATGTGCAAAGTTCTTAGAGACCCAGAAAGACTCACAGCTGTAATCGCTGCCAAAGGTGATTCTAACATGTATTTACATTTTACATTGACATTTTAGTCATTTAGCAGACACTCTTATCCAGAGCGACTTACAGTTAGTGAGTGCATACCTTATTTTTATTTATTTTTCATACTGGCCCCCCGTGGGAATCGAACCCACAACCCTGGCGTTGCAAACGCCATGCTCTACCAACTGAGCTACATCCCTGCGGGCCATTCCCTCCCCTACCTTGGACGACGCTGGGCCAATTGTGCGCCGCCCCATGGGTCTCCCGGTCCCGGTCGCGGTGTGAATCCTTATGTAAAATGAGATATTTCTGTATTTCCTTTTCAATACATTTGAATGGGGTATTGTGTGTAGAAGGGTGAGAAAAATAATCTATTGAATCCATTTTGAATTCAGGCTGAAACACAACAACATGTGGAATAAGTCAAGGGGTCTGAATACTTTCTGAAGACACTGTATATCCATATGGTCAGAGCTACATGTTAAAGCAGAGGCGTCAAACTCATTTTGCCCCGCGGGCCACATCCGTTTTTTCATCGAGGTCTGGAGGGCCGCACTTCAAACTGATGATATTTCCTCGCTGTCAAAATGTAACAACAAAAAGCAGACAGAAAGATGCATCAAGTTCAGATAAAGCATGCGAGCGAGCAAAACAGCGGCCCTCTGTCTCAGCAGGTGTAGACCATGGATCTGATGCTGTATGGCATGTCATACTCTCAGCAGGTGTAGACCATGGATCTGATGCTGTATGGCATGTCATACTCTCAGCAGCAGGTGTAGACCATGGATCTGATGCTGTATGGCATGTCATACTCTCAGTCAGCAGGTTGTAGACCATGGATTCTGATGCTGTATGGCATGTCATACTCTCAGCAGCAGGTGTAGACCATGGATCTGATGCTGTATGGCATGTCATACTCTCAGCAGCAGGTGTAGACCATGGATCTGATGCTGTATGGCATGTCATACTCTCAGCAGCAGGTGTAGACCATGGATCTGATGCTGTATGGCATGTCTACTCTCAGCAGGTGTAGACCATGGATCTGATGCTGTATGGCAATGTCATACTCTCAGCAGCAGGTGTTAGACCATGGATCTGATGCTGTATGGCATGTCATACTCTCAGCAGCAGGTGTAGACCATGGAATCTGATGCTGTATGGGCATGTCATACTCCTCAGCAGGTGTAGACCATGGATCTGATGCTGTATGGCATGTCATATACTCTCAGCAGCAGGTGTAGACCCATGGATCTGATGCTGTATGGCATGTCATACTCTCAGCAGGTGGAGACCATTGATCTGATGCTGTATGGCATGTCATACTCTCAGCAGCAGGTGTAGACCATGGATCTGATGCTGTATGGCATGTCATACTCTCAGCAGGTGTAGACCATGGATCTGATGCTGTATGGCATGTCATACTCTCAGCAGCAGGTGTAGACCATGGATCTGATGCTGTATGGCATGTCATACTCTCAGCAGGTGGAGACCATGGATCTGATGCTGTATGGCATGTCATACTCTCAGCAGCAGGTGTAGACCCCGTGGATCGGACGCTGTATGGCATGTCATACTCTCAGCAGCAGGTGTAGACCATGGATCTGATGCTGTATGGCATGTCATACTCTCAGCAGGTGTAGACCATGGATCTGATGCTGTATGGCATGTCATACTCTCAGCAGCAGGTGTAGACCATGGATCTGATGCTGTATGGCATGTCATACTCTCAGCAGCAGGTGTAGACCATGGATCTGATGCTGTATGGCATGTCCATACTCTCAGCAGCAGGTGTAGACCATGGATCTGATGCTGTATGGCATGTCATCCTCTCAGCAGCAGGTTGTAGACCATGGATCTGATGCTGTATGGCATGTCATACTCTCAGCAGCAGGTTAGACCATGGATCTGATGCTGTATGGCATGTCATTACTCTCAGCAGGTGTAGGACCAGGGATCTGATGCTGTATGGCATGTCATACTCTCAGCAGGTGTAGACCATGGATCTGATGCTGTATGGCATGTCATACTCTCAAGCAGGGCAGTGTGTAGACCCATGGATCTGATGCTGTATGGCATGTCATACTCTCAGCAGCAGGTGTAGACCATGGATCTGATGCTGTTATGGCATGTCATACTCTCAGCAGCAGGTGTAGACCATGGATCTGATGCTGTATGGCATGTCATACTCTCAGCAGCAGGTGTAGACCATGGATCTGATGCTGTATGGCATGTCATACTCTCAGCAGGTGTAGACCATGGATCTGATGCTGTATGGCATGTCATACTCTCAGCAGCAGGTGTAGACCATGGATCTGATGCTGTATGGCATGTCATACTCTCAGCAGCAGGTGTAGACCATGGATCTGATGCTGTATGGCATGTCATACTCTCAGCAGCAGGTTGTAGACCATGGATCTGATGCTGTATGGCATGTCATACTCTCAGCAGCAGGGTGTAGACCATGGATCTGATGCTGTATGGCATGTCATACTCTCAGCAGCAGGTGTAGACCATGGATCTGATGCTGTATGGGCCTGTTCATACTCTCAGCAGGTGTAGACCATGGATCTGATGCTGTATGGCATGTCATACTCTCAGCAGCAGGTGTAGACCATGGATCTGATGCTGTATGGCATGTCATACTCTCAGCAGCAGGTGTAGACCATGGATCTGATGCTGTATGGCATGTCATACTCTCAGCAGCAGGTGTAGACCATGGATCTGATGCTGTATGGCATGTCATACTCTCAGCAGCAGGTGTAGACCATGGATCTGATGGCTGTAGGCATGTCATACTCTCAGCAGCAGGTGTAGACCATGGATCTGATGCTGTATGGCATGTCATACTCTCAGCAGCAGGTGGAGACCATGGATCTGATGCTGTATGGCATGTCATACTCTCAGCAGCAGGTGGAGACCATGGATCTGATGCTGTATGGCATGTCATACTCTCAGCAGGTGTAGACCATGGATCTGATGCTGTATGGCATGTCCCATACTCTCAGCAGCAGGTGTAGACCATGGATCTGATGGCTGTATGGCATGTCATACTCTCAGCAGCAGGTGGAGACCATGGATCTGATGCTGTATGGCATGTCATACTCTCAGCAGCAGGTGTAGACCATGGATCTGATGCTGTATGGCATGTCATACTCTCAGCAGCAGGTGTAGACCATGGATCTGATGCTGTATGGCATGTCATACTCTCAGCAGCAGGTGTAGACCATGGATCTGAGGCTGTATGGTCATGTCATACTCTCAGCAGCAGGTGTAGACCAGGATCTGATGCTGTATGGCATGTCATACTCTCAGCAGCAGGTGTAGACCATGGATCTGATGCTGTAGGCATGTCATACTCTCAGCAGCAGGTGTAGACCATGGATCTGATGCTGTATGGCTGTCATACTCTCAGCAGGTGTAGACCATGGATCTGATGCGTATGGCATGTCATACTCTCAGCAGCAGGTGGAGACCATGGATCTGATGCTGTATGGCATGTCATCTCTATCATGCAGCAGGTGTAGACCATGGATCTGATGCTGGTATGGATGTCATTACTCTCAGCAGGTGTAGACCATGGATCTGATGCTGTATGGCAGTCATGACTCTCAGCAGGTGTAGACCATGGATCTGATGCTGTATGGCATGTCATACTCTCAGCAGCAGGTGGAGACCATGGATCTGATGCTGTATGGCATGTCATACTCTCTGATGGATGGGATGCTTTCTCCGGGAAGATAGTTTCAGCCAAGAGGAAGAGGCGAAGCCGTGGGCAGTATGTTTGACACCCCGGTGTTAAAGGCCTGGTTCTTACCATGTGTTTGACACCCCGGTGTTAAAGGCCTGGTTCTTACCATGTGTTGACACCCCGGTGTTAAAGGCCTGGTTCTTACCATGTGTTGACACCCCCGGGTGTTAAAGGCCTGGTTCTTACCATTGTGACAACCCCGGTGTTAAAGGCCTGGGTTTCTTACCATGTGTTTTGACACCCCGGTGGTTAAAGGCCTGGTTCTTACCATGTGTTTGACACCCCGGTGTTAAAGGCCTGGTTCTTACCATGTGTTTTGACACCCCGGTGTTAAAGGCCTTGGTTCTTACCATGTGTTTGACACCCCCGGTGTTAAAGGCCTGGTTCTTACCATGTGTTGACACCCCCGGGTGTTAAAGGCCTGGTTCTTACCATGTGTTGACACCCCGGTGTTTAAAGGCCTGGTTCTTACCATGTGTTGACACCACCCCCCGGTGTTAAAGGCCTGGTTCTTACCATGTGTTGACACCCCGGTGTTAAAGGCCTGGTTCTTACCATGTGTTGACACCCCGGTGTTAAAGGCCTGGTTCTTACCATGTGTTTGACACCCCGGTGTTAAAGGCCTGGTTCTTACCATGTGTTGACACCCCGGTGTTAAAGGCCTGGTTCTTACCATGTGTTGACACCCCGGTGTTAAAGGCCTGGTTCTTACCATGTGTTGACACCCCGGTGTTAAAGGCCTGGTTCTTACCATGTGTGTGCCTTGGGTAGGTTGTCTGTGTTGGCCTCTATCAGATGGATGGTGAACAGCCTTGGACCTGCTGACCCTGTAGAACCTTACACACACACATTCTAGTTATCACTGTTCTAGAATACACACACATTCTAGTTATCACTGTTCTAGAACACAGACATTCTAGTTATCACTGTTCTAGAACACACACACATTCTAGTTATCACTGTTCTAGAACACACTCACATTCTAGTTATCACTGTTCTTTGTTAATAGTGCATAATGCGGGGTGTGTGTGTGTGTGTGTGCGTGCGTGCGTGCGTGCGTGCGTGTGTGTGCGACCCACCCTGTAGGGCCTTGAATCCCTGTAGTGGAACTCTGGTGGAACCGGTAACAAACTGCAGTAACCGTCCTCTCCTCTCCTCAGTGAAGCTCTCTACAGCCTCCCAGAACCAGCGGACCACATTACTGTCTACAGCACAGTGCTTCAGACGGGTGTTGGACTTCCAATCTGGGAGGTCTATCTTCCCAAGGCCTCCGATTATCAACTAGAGAGAGAGAGACAGGGGGAGAGAGTTAGACAGGCCCCCGATTATCAACTAGAGAGAGAGACAGGGGGAGAGAGAGAGTTAGACAGGCCTCCGATTATCAACTAGAGAGAGAGAGAGACAGGGGGAGAGAGAGAGTTAGACAGGCCTCCGATTATCAACTAGAGAGAGAGACAGGGGGAGAGAGAGAGTTAGACAGGCCTCCGATTATCAACTAGAGAGAGAGACAGGGGGAGAGAGTTAGACAGGCCTCCGATTATCAACTAGAGAGAGAGACAGGGGGAGAGAGTTAGACAGGCCCCCGATTATCAACTAGAGAGAGAGACAGGGGGAGAGCGTTAGACAGGCCTCCGATTATCAACTAGAGAGAGAGACAGGGGGAGAGAGAGAGTTAGACAGGCCCCCGATTATCAACTAGAGAGAGAGACAGGGGGAGAGAGTTAGACAGGCCCCCGATTATCAACTAGAGAGAGAGACAGGGGGAGAGAGTTAGACAGGCCCCCGATTATCAACTAGAGAGAGAGACAGGGGGAGAGCGTTAGACAGGCCTCCGATTATCAACTAGAGAGAGAGAGGCAGGTATAACAGAAAGACAGCCAGACAGGTATAACAGACAGACAGTCATGCCAGACAGACAGACAGGTATAACAGACAGACAGTCATGCCAGACAGACAGACAGACAGACAGACAGACAGACAGGCCAGCCAGACAGACAGGTCCGTACCTCTAGCTCCTTGTGGTCAAATGGTTTGAGGAGGTGTTGAGGGATCAGTTCGCTGAATCCTTTCTGCAGAGCTAAGAACTGAGCCTCTATCCCCCTCATAAACCTCCAGTTGACATAAAGCTTGACATACTCCTTTTTGTTGTCCTCGGTTACCGGGAGGTTGCGCCCGTTGGGTTTCAGCTCATGTTGAAGAAACTTCCCGAAGGCACTGTGTTCTACGCAGAACGTATGATCTAGAACCGACGAGATGTCATTCTCCCTACACACACACACACACACACACACACACACACACACACACACACACACAGAGATAACATTGTAATACCCAGAAACTATACTGGCACAAAGCTAGTGTAATTACTAGTGTGTGTGGTACTCACAGTATCCAGCTAGTGTAATTACTAGTGTGTGTGGTACTCACAGTATCCAGCTAGTGTAATTACTAGTGTGTGTGGTACTCACAGTATCCAGCTAGTGTAATTACTAGTGTGTGTGGTACTCACAGTATCCAGCTAGTGTAATTACTAGTGTGTGTGGTACTCACAGTATCCAGCTAGTGTAATTACTAGGTGTGTGGTACTCACAGTATCCAGACTCTTGTGTAGTTCAGGATCAGTAAAGCTAGTGTAATTACTAGTGTGTGTGGTACTCACAGTATCCAGACTCTTGTGTAGTTCAGGATCAGTAAAGCTAGTGTAATTACTAGTGTGTGTGGTACTCACAGTTTTCAGCTAGTGTAATTACTAGTGTGTGTGGTACTCACAGTATCCAGCTAGTGTAATTACTAGTGTGTGTGGTACTCACAGTATCCAGACTCTTGTGTAGTTCAGGATCAGTAAAGCTAGTGTAATTACTAGTGTGTGTGGTCCTCACAGTATCCAGCTAGTGTAATTACTAGTGTGTGTGGTCCTCACAGTATCCAGCTAGTGTAATTACTAGTGTGTGTGGTACTCACAGTATCCAGCTAGTGTAATTACTAGTGTGTGTGGTACTCACAGTATCCAGACTCTTGTGTAGTTCAGGATCAGTAAAGCTAGTGTAATTACTAGTGTGTGTGGTACTCACAGTATCCAGCTAGTGTAATTACTAGTGTGTGTGGTACTCACAGTATCCAGACTCTTATGTAGTTCAGGATCAGTAAAGCTAGTGTAATTACTAGTGTGTGTGGTACTCACAGTATCCAGCTAGTGTAATTACTAGTGTGTGTGGTACTCACAGTATCCAGACTCTTATGTAGTTCAGGATCAGTAAAGCTAGTGTAATTACTAGTGTGTGTGGTACTCACAGTATCCAGCTAGTGTAATTACTAGTGTGTGTGGTACTCACAGTATCCAGCTAGTGTAATTACTAGTGTGTGTGGTACTCACAGTATCCAGCTAGTGTAATTACTAGTGTGTGTGGTACTCACAGTATCCAGCTAGTGTAATTACTAGTGTGTGTGGTACTCACAGTATCCAGCTAGTGTAATTACTAGTGTGTGTGGTACTCACAGTATCCAGCTAGTGTAATTACTAGTGTGTGTGGTACTCACAGTATCCAGACTCTTATGTAGTTCAGGATCAGTAAAGCTAGTGTAATTACTAGTGTGTGTGGTACTCACAGTATCCAGCTAGTGTAATTACTAGTGTGTGTGGTACTCACAGTATCCAGCTAGTGTAATTACTAGTGTGTGTGGTACTCACAGTATCCAGCTAGTGTAATTACTAGTGTGTGTGGTACTCACAGTATCCAGCTAGTGTAATTACTAGTGTGTGTGGTACTCACAGTATCCAGCTAGTGTAATTACTAGTGTGTGTGGTACTCACAGTATCCAGACTCTTGTGTAGTTCAGGGTCAGTAAAGCTAGTGTAATTACTAGTGTGTGTGGTACTCACAGTATCCAGCTAGTGTAATTACTAGTGTGTGTGGTACTCACAGTATCCAGCTAGTGTAATTACTAGTGTGTGTGGTACTCACAGTATCCAGCTAGTGTAATTACTAGTGTGTGTGGTACTCACAGTATCCAGCTAGTGTAATTACTAGTGTGTGTGGTACTCACAGTATCCAGCTAGTGTAATTACTAGTGTGTGTGGTACTCACAGTATCCAGCTAGTGTAATTACTAGTGTGTGTGGTACTCACAGTATCCAGACTCTTGTGTAGTTCAGGATCAGTAAAGCTAGTGTAATTACTAGTGTGTGTGGTACTCACAGTATCCAGCTAGTGTAATTACTAGTGTGTGTGGTACTCACAGTATCCAGCTAGTGTAATTACTAGTGTGTGTGGTACTCACAGTATCCAGCTAGTGTAATTACTAGTGTGTGTGGTACTCACAGTATCCAGCTAGTGTAATTACTAGTGTGTGTGGTACTCACAGTATCCAGCTAGTGTAATTACTAGTGTGTGTGGTACTCACAGTATCCAGCTAGTGTAATTACTAGTGTGTGTGGTACTCACAGTATCCAGCTAGTGTAATTACTAGTGTGTGTGGTACTCACAGTATCCAGACCAGACTCTTGTGTAGTTCAGGATCGGTGGTCTCCAGGTCTTGGAGCATAATGGGTTTCCCCAGCAGCTGCTTGTAGAAGGGTAGGGTGAAGCCTCCGTTGATATAGTGACTATGGAACACTGCCAGGCCCATCACACGACCCACGAAGTGGAAATACGACAGGTGGTCCTGCACACACACCATCATCATCAGTACTCACAGGGTTGACAGAGGAGTCGGGGTTGATCTGTAGTGTGTAAATGTACTCACAGGGTTGACAGAGGAGTCGGGTTGATCTGTAGTGTGTAAATGTACTCACAGGGTTGACAGAGGAGTCGGGGTTGATCTGTAGTGTGTAAATGTACTCACAGGGTTGACAGAGGAGTCGGGTTTGATCTGTAGTGTGTAAATGTACTCACAGGGTTGACAGAGAGGTCGGGGTTGATCTGTAGTGTGTAAATGTACTCACAGGGTTGACAGAGGAGTCGGGGTTGATCTGTAGTGTGTAAATGTACTCACAGGGTTGAGAGAGGAGTCGGGGTTGATCTGTAGTGTGTAAATGTACTCACAGGGTTGACAGAGGAGTCGGGGTTGATCTGTAGTGTGTGTGTGTGTACTCACAGGGTTGACAGAGGAGTCGGGGTTGATCTGTAGTGTGTAAATGTACTCACAGGGTTGAGAGAGGAGTCGGGGTTGATCTGTAGTGTGTAAATGTACTCACAGGGTTGACAGAGGAGTCGGGGTTGATCTGTAGTGTGTGTGTACTCACGGGGTTGACAGAGGGGTCGGGGTTGATCTGTAGTGTGTAAATGTACTCACAGGGTTGACAGAGGAGTCGGGGTTGATCTGTAGTGTGTAAATGTACTCACAGGGTTGACAGAGGAGTCGGGGTTGATCTGTAGTGTGTAAATGTACTCACAGGGTTGACAGAGGAGTCGGGTTTGATCTGTAGTGTGTAAATGTACTCACAGGGTTGACAGAGAGGTCGGGGTTGATCTGTAGTGTGTAAATGTACTCACAGGGTTGACAGAGGAGTCGGGGTTGATCTGTAGTGTGTAAATGTACTCACAGGGTTGAGAGAGGAGTCGGGGTTGATCTGTAGTGTGTAAATGTACTCACAGGGTTGACAGAGGAGTCGGGGTTGATCTGTAGTGTGTGTGTGTGTTCTCACAGGGTTGACAGAGGAGTCGGGGTTGATCTGTAGTGTGTAAATGTACTCACAGGGTTGAGAGAGGAGTCGGGGTTGATCTGTAGTGTGTAAATGTACTCACAGGGTTGAGAGAGGAGTCGGGGTTGATCTGTAGTGTGTAAATGTACTCACAGGGTTGACAGAGGAGTCGGGGTTGATCTGTAGTGTGTAAATGTTGTCTGTTGAGTATTGGAACAGGCCATAGTACGGGTTCAACATCTCATGGCACAGCAGGTACAGCCACTCCCTATATAACCATAATACAACGTTATTACAATGTTATCACAGCAGGTACAGCCACTCCCTATATAACCATAATACAACGTTATTACAATGTTATCACAGCAGGTACAGCCACTCCCTGTATAAGCATAACACAACGTTATTACAATGTTATCACAGCAGGTACAGCCACTCCCTATATAACCATAATACAACGTTATTACAATGTTATCACAGCAGGTACAGCCACTCCCTGTATAACCATAACACAACGTTATTACAATGTTATCACAGCAGGTTCAGCCACTCCCTATATAACCATAATACAACGTTATTACAATGTTATCACAGCAGGTACAGCCACTCCCTGTATAACCATAACACAACGTTATTACAATGTTATCACAGCAGGTACAGCCACTCCCTATATAACCATAATCCAACGTTATTACAATGTTATCACAGCAGGTACAGCCACTCCCTGTATAACCATAATACAACGTTATTACAATGTTATCACAGCAGGTACAGCCACTCCCTGTATAACCATAACACAACGTTATTACAATGTTATCACAGCAGGTACAGCCACTCCCTATATAACCATAACACAACGTTATTACAATGTTATCCCAGCAGGTTCAGCCACTCCCTGTATAACCATAACACAACGTTATTACAATGTTATCACAGCAGGTACAGCCACTCCCTATATAACCATAACACAACGTTATTACAATGTTATCACAGCAGGTACAGCCACTCCCTATATAACCATAATACAACGTTATTACAATGTTATCACAGCAGGTACAGCCACTCCCTATATAACCATAATGCAACGTTATCACAACATAACCATAATATAACATCACAACGTCATCACACAGCAGGTACAGAACAACGTTACAATGACATCATCACAACAGCCAGGGTGGGAAATTAACTTTTTGTTTCCCCAACCAATGTGGCAGGTAGATACATTTAATGTATTTGTTATTCTTTTTATTAATGTTTTTAATTTTTTATATTGAGATAGGTGACAGGGAAGGTAAGAGGGTTTAGACAGTGAAGAGGAGACAGGGAAGGTAAGAGGGTTTAGACAGTGAAGAGGAGACAGGAAAGGTAAGAGGGTTTAGACAGTGAAGAGGAGACAGGGAAGGTAAGAGGGTTTAGACAGTGAAGAGGTGACAGGAAAGGTAAGAGGGTTTAGACAGTGAAGAGGAGACAGGGAAGGTAAGAGGGTTTAGACAGTGAAGCGGAGACAGGGAAGGTAAGAGGGTTTAGACAGTGAAGAGGAGACAGGGAAGGTAAGAGGGTTTAGACAGTGAAGAGGAGACAGGGAAGGTAAGAGGGTTTAGACAGTGAAGAGGAGACAGGGAAGGTAAGAGGGTTTAGACAGTGAAGCGGAGACAGGGAAGGTAAGAGGGTTTAGACAGTGAAGCGGAGACAGGGAAGGTAAGAGGGTTTAGACAGTGAAGCGGTGACAAGAAAGGTAAGAGGGTTTAGACAGTGAAGCGGAGACAGGGAAGGTAAGAGGGTTTAGACAGTGAAGAGGAGACAGGGAAGGTAAAAGGGTTTAGACAGTGAAGAGGAGACAGGGAAGGTAAGAGGGTTTAGACAGTGAAGAGGAGACAGGGAAGGTAAGAGGGTTTAGACAGTGAAGAGGAGACAGGAAAGGTAAGAGGGTTTAGACAGTGAAGAGGAGACAGGAAAGGTAAGAGGGTTTAGACAGTGAAGCGGTGACAAGAAAGGTAAGAGGGTTTAGACAGTGAAGCGGAGACAGGGAAGGTAAGAGGGTTTAGACAGTGAAGAGGAGACAGGGAAGGTAAGAGGGTTTAGACAGTGAAGCGGAGACAGGGAAGGTAAGAGGGTTTAGACAGTGAAGGGGAGACAGGGAAGGTAAGAGTTTTAGACAGTGAAGAGGAGACAGGGAAGGTAAGAGGGTTTAGACAGAGGAGACAGGAAAGGTAAGAGGGTTTAGACAGTGAAGAGGAGACAGGGAAGGTAAGAGGGTTTAGACAGTGAAGAGGAGACAGGGAAGGTAAGAGGGTTTAGACAGTGAAGAGGAGACAGGAAAGGTAAGAGGGTTTAGACAGTGAAGCAGAGACAGGGAAGGTAAGAGGGTTTACAGTGAAGCGGAGACAGGGAAGGTAAGAGGGTTTAGACAGTGAAGCGGAGACAGGGAAGGTAAGAGGGTTTAGACAGTGAAGAGGAGACAGGGAAGGTAAGAGGGTTTAGACAGTGAAGAGGAGACAGGGAAGGTAAGAGGGTTTAGACAGTGAAGAGGAGACAGGGAAGGTAAGAGGGTTTAGACAGTGAAGCAGAGACAGGGAAGGTAAGAGGGTTTACAGTGAAGCGGAGACAGGGAAGGTAAGAGGGTTTAGACAGTGAAGCGGAGACAGGGAAGGTAAGAGGGTTTAGACAGTGAAGAGGAGACAGGGAAGGTAAGAGGGTTTAGACAGTGAAGAGGAGACAGGGAAGGTAAGAGAGTTTAGACAGTGAAGAGGAGACAGGGAAGGTAAGAGGGTTTAGACAGTGAAGAGGAGACAGGGAAGGTAAGAGGGTTTAGACAGTGAAGCGGAGACAGGAAAGGTAAGAGGGTTTAGACAGTGAAGCGGAGACAGGAAAGGTAAGAGGGTTTAGACAGTGAAGAGGAGACAGAGAAGGTAAGAGGGTTTACAGTGAAGAGGAGACAGGAAAGGTAAGAGGGTTTAGACAGTGAAGCGGAGACAGGAAAGGTAAGAGGGTTTAGACAGTGAAGCGGAGACAGGAAAGGTAAGAGGGTTTAGTCTAGGGTTGTACATGTTGGATCAGAACCCATGCTGACTCTGGTATCCTGGGCTGTACATGTTGGATCAGAACCCATGCTGACTCTGGTATCCTGGGCTGTACATGTTGGATCAGAACCATGCTGACTCTGGTATCCTGGGCTGTACATGTTGGATCAGAACCCATGCTGACTCTGGTATCCTAGGCTGTACATGTTGGATCAGAACCCATGCTGACTCTGGTATCCTGGGCTGTACATGTTGGATCAGAACCCATGCTGACTCTGGTATCCTGGGCTGTACATGTTGGATCAGAACCCATGGTGACTCTGGTATCCTAGGCTGTACATGTTGGATCAGAACCCATGCTGACTCTGGTATCCTGGGCTGTACATGTTGGATCAGAACCCATGCTGACTCTGGTATCCTGGGCTGTACATGTTGGATCAGAACCCATGCTGACTCTGGTATCCTGGGCTGTACATGTTGGATCAGAACCCATGCTGACTCTGGTATCCTGGGCTGTACATGTTGGATCAGAACCATGCTGACTCTGGTATCCTGGGCTGTACATGTTGGATCAGAACCCATGCTGACTCTGGTATCCTGGGCTGTACATGTTGGACCAGAACCCATGCTGACTCTGGTATCCTGGGCTGTACATGTTGGATCAGAACCCATGCTGACTCTGGTATCCTGGGCTGTACATGTTGGATCAGAACCCATGCTGACTCTGGTAGGCTGTACATGTTGGATCAGAACCCATGCTGACTCTGGTATCCTGGGCTGTACATGTTGGATCAGAACCCATGCTGACTCTGGTATCCTGGGCTGTACGTGTTGGATCAGAACCCATGCTGACTCTGTGATCCTGGGCTGTCACCACTCAGAATGTTTACCAGACCAAATATTTTTACACCAGAATTACACCAGAAAACACGGAAATACAGATTTTTCTAAAACAAGAAATGTATTACTAGTAAGACGTAATGTGGTATATTGCTCAATGTAAATCCATGTTTTGTAAACTGGCTTGCTGACCCCATGCCTTGCATGCCAACTACAGTAAGTTTAGGGCGCTATCAAAACGCTTTGATTTTCCCCCAAATTCTGCTTTCTCAGTTGAGTTTTTTTCAGGTTTCGGATTTTCCCTGAGTTTTTCAGGGTTTCACACTTGTTAAAGATGTTTTTAAAAGATGTTAGATGTTCCAAGTCAGGGGTTGTAAAACTCATTCCATGGAGGGCCTAGTGTCTGCTGGTTTTCAATTAAGACCTAGACAACCAGGTGAGGGGAGTTCCTCACTAAGACCTAGACAACCAGGTGAGGGGAGTTCCTCACTAAGACCTAGACAACCAGGTGAGGAGAGTTCCTCACTAAGACCTAGACAACCAGGTGAGGGGAGTTCCTTACTAAGACATAGACAACCAGGTGAGGGGAGTTCCTTACTAAGACCTAGACAACCAGGTGAGGGGAGTTCCTTACTAAGACCTAGACAACCAGGTGAGGGGAGTTCCTTACTAAGACCTAGACAACCAGGTGAGGGGAGTTCCTCACTAAGACCTAGACAACCAGGTGAGGGGAGTTCCTCACTAAGACCTAGACAACCAGGTGAGGGGAGTTCCTCACTAAGACCTAGACAACCAGGTGAGGGGAGTTCCTTACTAAGACCTAGACAACCAGGTGAGGGGAGTTCCTTACTAAGACCTAGACAACCAGGTGAGGGGAGTTCCTCACTAAGACTTAGACAACCAGGTGAGGGGAGTTCCTCACTAAGACCTGGACAACCAGGTGAGGGGAGTTCCTTACTAATCAGTGACCTTAATTCATCCATCAAGGGAGTCCAAGGTAGGAGTGAAAACCTGCAGACACACGGCCCTCCGTGGAATGAGTTGGACGTGTTCTAAGTCCACAACAATTCTTAAACCACATCAGGAGACCGCTTTCGAGTAAAAAAATAAGAAAAAAACATTTGATTTTGGAGTGTGTAGTTGCACACCTAGCAAGAGACTGGTGTTTGACTAGTGGTGTGTTTCTGTACTGCATGTGAAGGCAGAGTTAGCAAAAAAAAGAAAAATACCCTTGTGATTCATACAAATAATCCTATCATTCTGCCAGGTAAGCTTACTTTACCGTTAACATTTAATTGGGAAGGTTTTATGGGGAAGTCTTTAGACAGTGTTCCGGCATAGCTAACTGGCTACACAAAGTGGTAGACAGGGATTCCCATGCCATCACTTCTTCAGAAAGCTGCAAGAAATACAAATCACTGATTCATCTTTTATATTCTTTAGGGCAACATGTGGGCTTTGGATCAAAATAAATCACTGATTCATCTTTTATATTCTTTAGGGCAACGTGTGGGCTTTGGATCAAAATAAATCACTGATTCATCTTTTATATTCTTTAGGGCAACGTGTGGGCTTTGGATCAAAATAAATCACTGATTCATCTTTTATATTCTTTAGGGCAACGTGTGGGCTTTGGATCAAAATAAATCACTGATTCATCTTTTATATTCTTTAGGGCAACGTGTGGGCTTTGGTTCAAAATAAATCACTGATTCATCTTTTATATTCTTTAGGGCAACGTGTGGGCTTTAGTTCAAAATAAATCACTGATTCATCTTTTATATTCTTTAGGGCAACGTGTGGGCTTTAGTTCAAAATAAATCACTGATTCATCTTTTATATTCTTTAGGGCAACGTGTGGGCTTTGGTTCAAAATAAATACTAAATGTTCCCAAATGCCACCGTGGCTGGTGAAATAGACATTCTTACCCACCAACGCCACCGTGGCTGGTGAAATAGACATTCTTACCCACCAACGCCACCGTGGCTGGTGAAATAGACATTCTTACCCACCAATGCCACCGTGGCTGGTGAAATAGACATTCTTACCCACCAATGCCACCGTGGCTGGTGAAATAGACATTCTTACCCACCAATGCCACCGTGGCTGGTGAAATAGACATTCTTACCCACCAATGCCACCGTGGCTGGTGAAATAGACATTCTTACCCACCAATGCCACCGTGGCTGGTGAAATAGACATTCTTACCCACCAATGCCACCGTGGCTGGTGAAATAGACATTCTTACCCACCAATGCCAATCTTTTGGGTGGTGGGTGTTAATTTCCCCCCCCTGCACACAGCAGGTACGGCCAACCCCCATAACCAGAAAACAACGTTATCACAACGCTATCACAACATAACCACAATCCAACCTTAGTACACCAGACTGTCACCTTGCCACTCCTCCGTAGTCCTTCCTCTCCTCTAAACGTTATCACAACGTTATCACAACATAACCACAATCCAACCTTAGTACACCAGACTGTCACCTTGCCACTCCTCCGTAGTCCAGTCCTTCCTCTCCTCTAAACTTCACCATCAGTCGTTTCTTCAGATCCTTTGGTCTCATCTTCATGATCTGACGATAAGACTCCTACACACACACACACAGACACACACACAGACACACAGACACACAGACACACACACACACACACACACACACACACAGACACACACACACACACACACATGCTTAATTAAAGAAAATATAACTTGAAGAACATGTCCTGGTGGCAGAATATTTATAAACCGTAGGAATAGCCCGGAATATTCCAAAGACATAAATAGACGCTACAGAAACTAAATGATGACCCGTTGTAGAGTTAGAGGTGCACTCTGCAGAACTCTCACCGCCATTTCCTGGTTACGGCAGGTAGCTGCACTATGCAGAACTCTCACCGCCATTTCCTGGTTACGGCAGGTAGCTGCACTATGCAGAACTCTCACCGCCATTTCCTGGTTACGGCAGGTAGCTGCACTATGCAGAACTCTCACCGCCATTTCCTGGTTACGGCAGGTAGCTGCACTCTGCAGAACTCTCACCGCCATTTCCTGGTTACGGCAGGTAGCTGCACTATGCAGAACTCTCACCGCCATTTCCTGGTTACGGCAGGTAGCTGCACTATGCAGAACTCTCACCGCCATTTCCTGGTTACGGCAGGTAGCTGCACTATGCAGAACTCTCCCCACCATTTCCTGGTTACGGCAGGTAGCTGCACTATGCAGAACTCTCACCGCCATTTCCTGGTTACGGCAGGTAGCTGCACTATGCAGAACTCTCACTGCCATTTCCTGGTTACGGCAGGTAGCTGCACTATGCAGAACTCTCACCTCCATTTCCTGGTTACGGCAGGTAGCTGCACTATGCAGAACTCTCACTGCCATTTCCTGGTTACGGCAGGTAGCTGCACTATGCAGAACTCTCACCTCCATTTCCTGGTTACGGCAGGTAGCTGCACTATGCAGAACTCTCACTGCCATTTCCTGGTTACGGCAGGTAGCTGCACTATGCAGAACTCTCACCGCCATTTCCTGGTTACGGCAGGTAGCTGCACTATGCAGAACTCTCCCCGCCATTTCCTGGTTACGGCAGGTAGCTGCACTATGCAGAACTCTCACCGCCATTTCCTGGTTACGGCAGGTAGCTGCACTATGCAGAACTCTCACCGCCATTACGGCAGGTAGCTGCACTATGCAGAACTCTCACCTCCATTTCCTGGTTACGGCAGGTAGCTTAGTGGTTAAGAGCGTTGTGCCAGTAACCGAAAGGTCGCTGGTTCTAATCCCCGAGCCGACTAGGTGAAAAATCTGTCGATGTGCCCTTGAGCAAGGCACTTAACCCTAATTGCTCCTGTAAGTCGCTCTGGATAAGAGCGTCTGCTAAATGACTAAAATCTAAATGTAAATGTATTGTGTCGGCATGCCTATAAATGTGTGTGTGTGTGTGTGTGTGTGTGTGTGTGTGTGTGTGTGTATACACTACCAGTCAAAAGTTTGGACACACCTACTCATTCAAGGGTTTTTCTTTATTTGTACTATTTTCTACATTGTAGAATAATAGTGAAGGCATCAAAACTATGAAATAACACATATGGAATCATGTAGTAACCAAAAAAAAAGTGTTAAACAAATCAAAATATATTTATATATATTATGTTTTGACAAGGTAGGGGGGGGTATACAGAAGATAGTCCTATTTGGTAAAAGACCAAGTCCATATTAACCATCTCAATTGGGTTGAGGTCGGGGGATTGTGGAGGCCAGGTCATCTGATGCAGCACTCCATCACTCTCCTTCTTGGTCAAATAGCCCTTACACAGCCTGGAGGTGTGTTGGGTCATTGTCCTGTTGAAAAACAAATGATAGTCCCACTAAGCCCAAACCAGATGGGATGGCGTATCGCTGCAGAATGCTGTGGTAGCCATGCTGGTTAAGTGTGCCTTGAATTCTAAATAAATCACACAGTGTCACTAGCAAAGCACCCCCACACCATCACACCTCCTCCTCCATGCTTCACGGTGGGAACCACACATGCAGAGATCATCCGTTCACCTACACTGTGTCTCACAAAGACACGGCGGTTGGACTCCAGACCAAAGGACAGATTTCCACCGGTCTAATGTCCATTGCTCGTGTTTCTTGGCCAAAGCTGGTCTCTTCTTCTTATTGGTGTCCTTTAGTAGTGGTTTCTTTGCAGCAATTCGACCACGAAGGCCTGATTCACTTGGTCTTTTACCAAATAGGGCTATCTCCTGTATACCACCCCTACGTTGTCACAACACAACTGATTGGCTCAAATGCATTAAGAAGGAAAGAAATTCCACAAATTAACTTTTAACAAGGCACACCTGTTAATTGAAATGCATTCCAGGTGACCACTTCATGAAGCTGGTTGAGAGAACGCCAAGAGTGTGCAAAGCTGTCATCAATGCAAAGGGTGGCTACTTTGAAGAATCTCAAATACAAAATATATTTTTATTTGTTTAACACTTTTTTTGGGGTTACTACATGATTCCATATGTGTTATTTCCTAGTTTTGATGTCTTCACTATTATTCTACAATGTAGAAAATAGTTTTAAAAAATAAAGAAAAACCCTGGAATGAGTAGGTGTCCAAACTTTTTGACTGGCAGTGTATATATGTACGTACCTCAAAGATCTCTTCTCGTGAGACCTCTATGCGACAGTGTCCGGCTTGTGGTTGCTGTAGCGACAGCTCGTGTCGGAGCAGCTTCAGTTTGTGGACCAGGTCTCTCTCATAACGCAGTGTCACCTCGCCTCCTCCTCCTCCCCCCTCCTCCTCCTCCTCACCCCCCACCTCCATCTCTCTCCCGCCTCCCCCACCCAGCGGCCGAGACGACTCCTTCTCCTGGGAGTGTTGGCTGGACACACAATCCATTGGACATACAGTGGAAAACACACACAATCCATTGGACATACAGTGGAAAAATAGGATTCGACCCCTTTCTGATTTTCTCTATTGTTGCATATCTTTGATACTGAATGTTATCAGATCTTCAACCAAAACCTAACATTAGATAAAGGGAACCTGATTGAACAAATAACAACAACAAAAAAATGGATACTTATTTTATTTATATCATGAACAAAGTTATGCAACACCCAATGCCCCTGTGTGGAAAAAGTAATTGCCGCCTTACACTCAATAACTGGTTGTGCCACCTTTAGCTGCAATGACTCCAACCAAACGCTTCCTGTAGTTGTTGATCAGTCTCTCACGTCGCTGTGGAGGAATTTTGGCCCACTCTTCCATGCAGAACTGCTTTAACTCAGTGACATTTGTGGGTTTTCAAGCATGAACTGCTTGTTTCAAGTCCAGCCACAACATCTCAATTGGGATTACGTCTGGACTTTGACTAGGCCATTCCAAAACCTCAAATTAGTTGCTTTTTAGCCATTTTCATGTAAACCCTGTGTTTTGGATCATTGTCTTGCTGCATGACCCAGCTGCGCTTTTGGAATGGCCTAGTCAAAGTCCAGACCTATTCCCAATTGAGATGTTGTGGCAGGACTTGAAACAAGCAGATCATGCTTGAAAACCCACAAATGTCGCTGAGTTAAAGCAGTTCTACATGCAAGAGTGGGCCAAAATTCCTCCAAGTGACGTGAGAAACTGATCAACAACTACAGGAAGCATTTGGTTGGAGTCATTGCAACTAAAGGTGGCACAACCAGTTATTGAGTGTACACTGCCTTGCAAAAGTATTCATCCCCCTTGGCGTTTTTCATATTTTGTTGCATTACAACATGTAATTTAAATTTATTTTTATTTGGATTTCATGTAATGGACATACACAAAATAGTCCAGATGGGTGAAGTGAAATGAAAAAAATAACTTATTAACAAAATTCTGAAAAATAAATAACGGAAAAGTGGTGCGTGCATATGTATTCACCCCCTTTGCTATGAAGCCCCTAAATAAGATCTGGTGCAACCAATTACCTTCAGAATTACATAATTAGTTAAATAAAGTCCACCTGTGTGCAATCTAAGTGTCACATGATCTCAGTATATATACAGTGGGGAAAAAAAGTATTTAGTCAGCCACCAATTGTGCATGTTCTCCCACTTAAAAAGATGAGAGAGGCCTGTAATTTTCATCATAGGTACACGTCAAATATGACAGACAAAATGAGGAAAACATTTCCAGAAAATCACATTGTAGGATTTTTTATGAATTTATTTGCAAATTATGGTGGAAAATAAGTATTTGGTCAATAACAAAAGTTTCTCAATACTTTGTTATATACCCTTTGTTGGCAATGACACAGGTCAAACTTTTTCTGTAAGTCTTCACAAGGTTTTCACACACTGTTGCTGGTATTTTGGCCCATTCCTCCATGCAGATCTCCTCTAGAGCAGTGATGTTTTGGGGCTGTCGCTGGGCAACACGGACTTTCAACTCCCTCCAAAGATTTTCTATGGGGTTGAGATCTGGGGACTGGCTAGGCCACTCCAGGACCTTGAAATGCTTCTTACGAAGCCACTCCTTCGTTGCCCGGGCGGTGTGTTTCGGATCATTGTCATGCTGAAAGACCCAGCCACGTTTCATCTTCAATGCCCTTGCTGATGGAAGGAGGTTTTCACTCAAAATCTCACGATACATGGCCCCATTCATTCTTTCCTTTACACGGATCAGTCGTCCTGGTCCCTTTGCAGAAAAACAGCCCCAAAGCATGATGTTTCCACCCCCATGCTTCACAGTAGGTATGGTGTTCTTTGGATACAACTCAGCATTCTTTGTCCTCCAAACACGACGAGTTGAGTTTTTACCAAAAAGTTCTATTTTGGTTTCATCTGACCAAATGACATTCTCCCAATCCTCTTCTGAATCATCCAAATGCACTCTAGCAAACTTCAGACGGGCCTGGACATAAGCAGGGGGACACGTCTGGCACTGCAGGATTTGAGTCCCTGGCGGCGTAGTGTGTTACTGATGGTAGGCTTTGTTACTTTGGTCCCAGCTCTCTGCAGGTCATTCACTAGGACCCCCGTGTGGTTCTGGGATTTTTGCTCACCGTTCTTGTGATCATTTTGACCCCACGGGGTGAGATCTTGCGTGGAGCCCCAGATCGAGGGAGATTATCAGTGGTCTTGTATGTCTTCCATTTCCTAATAATTGCTCCCACAGTTGATTTCTTCAAACCAAGCTGCTTACCTATTGCAGATTCAGTCTTCCCAGCCTGGTGCAGGTCTACAATGTTGTTTCTGGTGTCCTTTGACAGCTCTTTGGTCTTGGCCATAGTGGAGTTTGGAGTGTGACTGTTTGAGGTTGTGGACAGGTGTCTTTTATACTGATAACAAGTTCAAACAGGTGCCATTAATACAGGTAACGAGTGGAGGACAGAGGAGCCTCTTAAAGAAGAAGTTACAGGTCTGTGAGAGCCAGAAATCTTGCTTGTTTGTAGGTGACCAAATACTTATTTTCCACCATTATTTGCAATTAAATTCATAAAAAATCCTACAATGTGATTTTCTGGAAAAAAAATTCTCAATTTGTCTGTCATAGTTGACGTGTACCTATGATGAAAATTACAGGCCTCTATCATCTTTTTAAGTGGGAGAACTTGCACAATTGGTGGCTGACTAAATACTTTTTTTCCCCACTGTATACACCTGTTCTGAAAGGCCCCAGAGTCTGCAACACCACTAAGCAAGGGGCACCACCAAGCAAGCGGCACCATGAAGACCAAGGAGCTCTCCAAACAGCTCAGGGACAAAGTTGTGGAGAAGTACAGATCAGGGTTGGGTTATAAAAAAAATATCTGAAACTTTGAACATCCCACGGAGCACCATTAAATCCATTATTAAAAAATTGAAAGAATATGGCACCACAACAAACCTGCCAAGAGAGGGCCGCCCACTAAAACTCACGGACCAGGCAAGGAGGGCATTAATCAGAGAGGCAACAAAGAGTCAAAGATAACCCTGAAGGAGCTGCAAAGCTCCACAGCGGAGATTGGAGTATCTGTCCATAGGACCACTTTAAGCCGTACACTCCACAGAGCTGGGCTTTACGGAAGAGTGGCCAGAAAAAAGCCATTGCTTAAAGAAAAAAATTAGCAAACACGTTTGGTGTTCGCCAAAAGGCATGTGGGAGACTCCCCAAACATATGGAAGAAGGTACTTTGGTCAGATGAGACTAAAATTGAGCTTTTCGGCCCTCAAGGAAAACGCTATGTCTGGCGCAAACCCAACACCTCTCATCACCCCGAGAACACCATCCCCACAGTGAAGCATGGTGGTGGCAGCATCATGCTGTGGGGATGTTTTTCATCGGCAGGGACTGGGAAACTGGTCAGCATTGAAGGAATGAAGGATGGCGCTAAATACAGGGAAATTCTTGAAGGAAACCTGTTTCAGTCTTCTAGAGATTTGAGACTGGGACGGAGGTTCACCTTCCAGCAGGACAATGACCCTAAACATACTGCTAAAGCAACACTCGAGTGGTTTAAGGGGAAACATTTAAATGTCTTGGAATGGCCTAGTCAAAGCCCAGACCTCAATCCAATTGAGAATCTGTGGTATGACTTAAAGATTGCTGTACAACAACGGAACCCATCCAACTTGAAGGAGCTGGAGCAGTTTTGCTTTGAAGAATGGGCAAAAATCCCAGTGGCTAGATGTGCCAAGCTTATAGAGACATACCCCAAGAGACCTGCAGCTGTAATTGCTGCAAAAGGTGGCTCTACAAAGTATTGACTTTGGGGGGGGGGGGGGGGGTTGGTGAATAGTTATGCACGCTCAAGTTTTCTGTTTTGTTTTGGTCTTATTTCTTGTTTGTTTCACCCCAAAAATTATTTTGCATCTTCAAAGTGGTAGGCATGTTGTGTAAATCAAATGATACAAACCCCCCAAAAATCTATTTTAATTCCAGGTTGTAAGGCAACAAAATAGGAAAAATGCCAAGGGGGGGGGGGGGGGGGGGGGGGGTGAACACTTTCGCAAGGCACTGTAAGGGGGCAATTACCTTTTCACACAGGGGCATTGGGGTGTTGCATAACTTGGTTTATTAAATACATTAAATAAGTGTGTAATTGTTGTGTTATTTATTCACTCAAGTTCCCTTTATCTAATATTAGGTTTTGGTTGAAGATCTGATAACATTCAGTATCAAAAATAATCAAAAATAGAGAAAATTAGAAAGGGGAAAAATTATTTTTCCCAGCACTGTATATAATCCAAATCAAATCACATTTTATTTGCCACATGCGCCAAATACAACAGGTGTGGACATTACAGTGAAATGCTTACTGACAGCCCTTAACCAACAATGCAGTTTTTAAGAAAAAAATAAGAAGTGTTAAGTAAAAAATAGATAAGTAAAAAATTAAAAAATAGCAAAGAATCCATAGATAACATGAGTGGTGTGTCTATAGCCCAGTATCTAGAGTCATTGGTGTGTCTATAGCCCAGTATCTAGAGTCATTGGTGTGTCTATAGCCCAGTATCTAGAGTCAGTGGTCTGTCTATAGCCCAGTATCTAGAGTCATTGGTGTGTCTGTCTATAGCCCAGTATCTAGAGTCATTGGTGTGTCTATAGCCCAGTATCTAGAGTCAGTGGTGTGTCTATAGCCCAGTATCTAGAGTCATTGGTGTGTCTGTCTATAGCCCAGTATCTAGAGTCATTGGTGTGTCTATAGGCCAGTATCTAGAGTCATTGGTGTGTCTATAGCCCAGTATCTAGAGTCATTGGTGTGTCTATAGCCCAGTATCTAGAGTCATTGGTGTGTCTGTCTATAGCCCAGTATCTAGAGTCATTGGTGTGTCTATAGCCCAGTATCTAGAGTCATTGGTGTGTCTGTCTATAGCCCAGTATCTAGAGTCATTGGTGTGTCTATAGCCCAGTATCTAGAGTCATTGGTGTGTCTATAGCCCAGTATCTAGAGTCATTGGTGTGTCTATAGCCCAGTATCTAGAGTCAGTGGTGTGTCTATAGCCCAGTATCTAGAGTCATTGGTGTGTCTATAGCCCAGTATCTAGAGTCATTGGTGTGTCTATAGCCCAGTATCTAGAGTCAGTGGTGTGTCTATAGCCCAGTATCTAGAGTCAGTGGTGTGTCTATAGCCCAGTATCTAGAGTCATTGGTGTGTCTGTCTATAGCCCAGTATCTAGAGTCATTGGTGTGTCTATAGCCCAGTATCTAGAGTCAGTGGTGTGTCTATAGCCCAGTATCTAGAGTCAGTGGTCTGTCTATAGCCCAGTATCTAGAGTCATTGGTGTGTCTATAGCCCAGTATCTAGAGTCATTGGTGTGTCTATAGCCCAGTATCTAGAGTCATTGGTGTGTTTATAGCCCAGTATCTAGAGTCAGTGGTGTGTCTATAGCCCAGTATCTAGAGTCAGTGGTGTGTCTATAGCCCAGTATCTAGAGTCAGTGGTGTGTCTATAGCCCAGTATCTAGAGTCATTGGTGTGTCTATAGCCCCGTATCTAGAGTCATTGGTGTGTCTGTTTATAGCCCAGTATCTAGAGTCATTGGTGTGTCTATAGCCTAGTATCTTGAGTCAGTGGTGTGTCTATAGCCCAGTATCTAGAGTCATTGGTGTGTCTATAGCCCAGTATCTAGAGTCAGTGGTGTGTCTATAGCCCAGTATCTAGAGTCATTGGTGTGTCTATAGCCCAGTATCTAGAGTCAGTGGTGTGTCTATAGCCTAGTATCTAGAGTCAGTGGTGTGTCTGTCTATAGCCCAGTATCTAGAGTCATTGGTGTGTCTGTCTATAGCCCAGTATCTAGAGTCATTGGTGTGTCTATAGCCCAGTATCTAGAGTCAGTGGTCTGTCTATAGCCCAGTATCTAGAGTCATTGGTGTGTCTATAGCCCAGTATCTAGAGTCATTGGTGTGTCTATAGCCCAGTATCTAGAGTCATTGGTGTGTTTATAGCCCAGTATCTAGAGTCAGTGGTGTGTCTATAGCCCAGTATCTAGAGTCAGTGGTGTGTCTATAGCCCAGTATCTAGAGTCATTGGTGTGTCTATAGCCCAGTATCTAGAGTCATTGGTCTGTCTATAGCCCAGTATCTAGAGTCATTGGTGTGTCTATAGCCCAGTATCTAGAGTCATTGGTGTGTCTATAGCCCAGTATCTAGAGTCAGTGGTGTGTCTATAGCCCAGTATCTAGAGTCAGTGGTGTGTCTATAGCCCAGTATCTAGAGTCAGTGGTGTGTCTGTCTATAGCCCAGTATCTAGAGTCATTGGTGTGTCTATAGCCCAGTATCTAGAGTCATTGGTGTGTCTATAGCCCAGTATCTAGAGTCATTGGTGTGTCTATAGCCCAGTATCTAGAGTCAGTGGTGTGTCTATAGCCCAGTATCTAGAGTCAGTGGTGTGTCTGTCTATAGCCCAGTATCTAGAGTCATTGGTGTGTCTATAGCCCAGTATCTAGAGTCATTGGTGTGTCTATAGCCCAGTATCTAGAGTCATTGGTGTGTCTATAGCCCAGTATCTAGAGTCATTGGTGTGTCTATAGCCCAGTATCTAGAGTCATTGGTGTGTCTATAGCCCAGTATCTAGAGTCAGTGGTGTGTCTATAGCCCAGTATCTAGAGTCATTGGTGTGTCTATAGCCCAGTATCTAGAGTCAGTGGTGTGTCTATAGCCCAGTATCTAGAGTCATTGGTGTGTCTGTCTATAGCCCAGTATCTAGAGTCATTGGTGTGTCTATAGCCCAGTATCTAGAGTCATTGGTGTGTCTATAGCCCAGTATCTAGAGTCATGGTGTGTCTATAGCCCAGTATCTAGAGTCATTGGTGTGTCTATAGCCCAGTATCTAGAGTCATTGGTGTGTCTATAGCCCAGTATCTAGAGTCAGTGGTGTGTCTATAGCCCAGTATCTAGAGTCAGTGGTGTGTCTATAGCCCAGTATCTAGAGTCATTGGTGTGTCTATAGCCCAGTATCTAGAGTCAGTGGTGTGTCTATAGCCCAGTATCTAGAGTCATTGGTGTGTCTGTCTATAGCCCAGTATCTAGAGTCATTGGTGTGTCTATAGCCCAGTATCTAGAGTCATTGGTGTGTCTATAGCCCAGTATCTAGAGTCAGTGGTGTGTCTATAGCCCAGTATCTAGAGTCATTGGTGTGTCTATAGCCCAGTATCTAGAGTCATTGGTGTGTCTGTCTATAGCCCAGTATCTAGAGTCAGTGGTCTGTCTATAGCCCAGTATCTAGAGTCATTGGTGTGTCTATAGCCCAGTATCTAGAGTCATTGGTGTGTCTATAGCCCAGTATCTAGAGTCAGTGGTGTGTCTATAGCCCAGTATCTAGAGTCATTGGTGTGTCTACAGCCCAGTATCTAGAGTCAGTGGTGTGTCTATAGCCCAGTATCTAGAGTCATTGGTGTGTCTGTCTATAGCCCAGTATCTAGAGTCATTGGTGTGTCTATAGCCCAGTATCTAGAGTCATTGGTGTGTCTATAGCCCAGTATCTAGAGTCAGTGGTGTGTCTATAGCCCAGTATCTAGAGTCAGTGGTCTGTCTATAGCCCAGTATCTAGAGTCATTGGTGTGTCTGTCTATAGCCCAGTATCTAGAGTCAGTGGTGTGTCTATAGCCCAGTATCTAGAGTCATTGGTGTGTCTATAAACCAGTATCTAGAGTCAGTGGTGTGTCTATAGCCCAGTATCTAGAGTCATTGGTGTGTCTATAGCCCAGTATCTAGAGTCATTGGTGTGTCTATAGCCCAGTATCTAGAGTCATTGGTGTGTCTATAGCCCAGTATCTAGAGTCATTGGTGTGTCTATAGCCCAGTATCTAGAGTCATTGGTGTGTCTATAGCCCAGTATCTAGAGTCATTGGTGTGTCTATAGCCCAGTATCTAGAGTCATTGGTGTGTCTATAGCCCAGTATCTAGAGTCATTGGTGTGTCTATAGCCCAGTATCTAGAGTCATTGGTGTGTCTATAGCCCAGTATCTAGAGTCATTGGTGTGTCTATAGCCCAGTATCTAGAGTCATTGGTGTGTCTATAGCCCAGTATCTAGAGTCAGTGGTGTGTCTATAGCCCAGTATCTAGAGTCATTGGGTGTGTCTATAGCCCAGTATCTAGAGTCATTGGTGTGGTCTATAGCCCAGTATCTAGAGTCATTGGTGTGTCTATAGCCCAGTATCTAGAGTCATTGGTGTGTCTATAGCCCAGTATCTAGAGTCATTGGTCTGTCTATAGCCCAGTATCTAGAGTCATTGGTGTGTCTATAGCCCAGTATCTAGAGTCATTGGTGTGTCTATAGCCCAGTATCTAGAGTCATTGGTGTGTCTATAGCCCAGTATCTAGAGTCATTGGTGTGTCTATAGCCCAGTATCTAGAGTCATTGGTGTGTCTATAGCCCAGTATCTAGAGTCAGTGGTGTGTCTATAGCCCAGTATCTAGAGTCAGTTGGTGTGTCTATAGCCCAGTATCTAGAGTCATTGGTGTGTCTATAGCCCAGTATCTAGAGTCATTGGTGTGGTCCTATAGCCCAGTATCTAGAGTCAGTGGTGTGTCTATAGCCACAGTATCTAGAGTCATTGGGTGTGTCTATAGCCCAGTATCTAGAGTCAGTGGTGTGTCTATAGCCCAGTATCTAGAGTCATTGGTGTGTCTATAGCCCCAGTATCTAGAGTCATTGGTGTGTCTATAGCCCAGTATCTAGAGTCATTGGTGTGTCTGTCTATAGCCCAGTATCTAGAGTCATTGGTGTGTCTATAGCCCAGTATCTAGAGTCATTGGTGTGTCTATAGCCCAGTATCTAGAGTCATTGGTGTTAGAGGTGATGATTACTGGTCTATAGCCCAGTATCTAGAGTCATTGGTGTGTCTGTCTATAGCCCAGTATCTAGAGTCATTGGTGTGTCTTTCCTATAGCCCAGTATCTAGAGTCCATTGGTGTGTCTATAGCCCAGTATCTAGAGTCATTGGTGTGTCTATAGCCCAGTATCTAGAGTCATTGGTGTGTCTATAGACCAGTATCTAGAGTCAGTTGGTGTGTCTATAGCCCAGTATCTAGAGTCATTGGTGTGTCTATAGCCCAGTATCTAGAGTCAGTGGTGTGTCTATAGCCCAGTATCTAGAGTCATTGGTGTGTCTATAGCCCAGTATCTAGAGTCATGGGTGTGTCTATAGCCCAGTATCTAGAGTCATTGGTGTGTCTATAGCCCAGTATCTAGAGTCATTGGTGTGTCTATAGCCCAGTATCTAGAGTCATTGGTGTGTCTATAGCCCAGTATCTAGAGTCATTGGTGTGTCTATAGCCCAGTATCTAGAGTCATTGGTGTGTCTATAGCCCAGTATCTAGAGTCATTGGTGTGTCTATAGCCCAGTATCTAGAGTCAGTGGTGTGTCTATAGCCCAGTATCTAGAGTCAGTGGTGTGTCTATAGCCCAGTATCTAGAGTCAGTGGTGTGTCTATAGCCCAGTATCTAGAGTCATTGGTGTGTCTATAGCCCATATCTAGAGTCATTGGTGTGGTCTATAGCCCAGTATCTAGAGTCATTGGTGTGTCTGTCTATAGCCCAGTATCTAGAGTCATTGGTGTGTCTATAGCCCAGTATCTAGAGTCATTGGTGTGTCTATAGCCCAGTATCTAGAGTCATTGGTGGTGTCTATAGCCCAGTATCTAGAGTCATTGGTGTGTCTATAGCCCAGTATCTAGAGTCATTGGTGTGTCTATAGCCCAGTATCTAGAGTCATTGGTGTGTCTATAGCCCAGTATCTAGAGTCAGTGGTCTGTCTATAGCCCAGTATCTAGAGTCAGTGGTGTGTCTATAGCCCAGTATCTAGAGTCAGTGGTGTGTCTATAGCCCAGTATCTAGAGTCATTGGTGTGTCTATAGCCCCGTATCTAGAGTCATGGTGTGTCTATAGCCCAGTATCTAGAGTCATTGGTGTGTCTATAGCCCAGTATCTAGAGTCATGGTGTGTCTATAGCCCAGTATCTAGAGTCATTGGTGTGTCTATAGCCCAGTATCTAGAGTCATTGGTGTGTCTATAGCCCAGTATCTAGAGTCAGTGGGTGTGTCTATAGCCCAGTATCTAGAGTCATTGGTGTGTCTATAGCCCAGTATCTAGAGTCAGTGGTCTGTCTATAGCCCAGTATCTAGAGTCAGTGGTGTGTCTGTCTATAGCCCAGTATCTAGAGTCATTGGTGTGTCTGTCTATAGCCCAGTATCTAGAGTCATTGGTGTGTCTATAGCCCAGTATCTAGAGTCATTGGTGTGTCTGTCTATAGCCCAGTATCTAGAGTCATTGGTGTGTCTATAGCCCAGTATCTAGAGTCATTGGTGTGTCTATAGCCCAGTATCTAGAGTCATTGGTGTGTCTATAGCCCAGTATCTAGAGTCATTGGTGTGTCTATAGCCCAGTATCTAGAGTCATTGGTGTGTCTATAGCCCAGTATCTAGAGTCATTGGTGTGTCTATAGCCCAGTATCTAGAGTCAGTGGTCTGTCTATAGCCCAGTATCTAGAGTCAGTGGTGTGTCTATAGCCCAGTATCTAGAGTCAGTGGTGTGTCTATAGCCCAGTATCTAGAGTCATTTGTGTGTCTATAGCCCAGTATCTAGAGTCATTGGTGTGTCTATAGCCCAGTATCTAGAGTCATTGGTGTGTCTATAGCCCAGTATCTAGAGTCATTGGTGTGGCTATAGCCCAGTATCTAGAGTCATTGGTGTGTCTATAGCCCAGTATCTAGAGTCATTGGTGTGTCTATAGCCCAGTATCTAGAGTCAGTGGTGTGTCTATAGCCCAGTATCTAGAGTCATTGGTGTGTCTATAGCCCAGTATCTAAGTCAGTGGTCTGTCTATAGCCCAGTATCTAGAGTCAGTGGTGTGTCTATAAGCCAGTATCTAGAGTCAGTGGGGTGTCTGTCTATAGCCCAGTATCTAGAGTCATTGGTGTGTCTATAGCCCCATACTAGAGTCATTGGGTGTGTCTGTCTATAGCCCAGTATCTCTAGAGTCATTGTGTTCTATAGCCCAGTATCTAGAGTCATGGTGTGTCGAGAGGCCCAGTATCTAGTCATTGGTGTGTCTGTCTAGACCCAGTATCTAGAGTCATTGGTGTGTCTATAGCCCAGTATCTAGAGTCATTGGTGTGTCTATGCCCAGTATCTAGAGTCAGTGGTGTGTCTATAGCCCAGTATCTAGAGTCATTGGTGTTCTATAGCCCAGTATCTAGAGTCATTGGTGTGTCTATAGCCCAGTATCTAGAGTCATTGGTGTGTCTATAGCCAGTATCTAGAGTCCATTGGTGTGTCCTGTCTATAGCCCAGTATCTAGAGTCATTGGGTGTGTCTATAAGCCCAGTATCTAGAGTCCATTGGTGTGTCTATAGCCCAGTATCTAGAGTCATTGGGTGTGTCTATAGCCCAGTATCTAGAGTCATTGGTGTGTCTGTCTATAGCCCCAGTATCTAGAGTCATTGGTGTGTCTGTCTATAGCCCAGTATCTAGAGTCATTGGTGGTGTCTATAGCCCAGTATCTAGAGTCATGGTGTGGTCTATAGCCCAGTATCTAGAGTCATTGGGTGGTCTATAGCCCAGTATCTAGAGTCATTGGTGTGTCTATAGCCCAGTATCTAGAGTCAGTGGTGTGTCTATAGCCCAGTATCTAGAGTCATTGGTGTGTCTATAGCCCAGTATCTAGAGTCATTGGTGATAGAGATGATGCTTACTGGTATTAAATCGCATCATTATTTCACTTCCACTGCTCACCATAGGACTGGGCTGTAACCTTCTGTCTGTGTGTGTGTGTGTGTGTGGTGTGTGTGTGTGTGTGTGTGTGTGTCTGTGTGTGTCTGTGTGTGTGTGTGTGTGTGTGTGTGCGCACACAAGTGTACCTGATGATGGTGTGTAGTCGGGGGTCAGTGAACTGCGTGGTTCGGTTGTTGTGGTCCACAAAGTAGATACGTCCCGACACCGTGCTCCTCACCTCCCAGCCGGCTGGCAGCGGACCCAACTCCTCACAGCTCACACTGGTCAGGTCCCTGGACCAATCACAACACACCTTACTGTCAGGTCCCTGGACCAATCACAACACACCTCACTGAGCTCTACACCAATCACAACACACCTCACTGAGCTCTACACCAATCACAACACACCTTACTGAGCTATACACCAATCACAACACACCTCACTGAGCTCTACACCAATCACAACACACCTCACTGAGCTCTACACCAATCACAACACACCTCACTGAGCTCTACACCAATCACAACAAAACCTAACTGAGCTATACCCAACACAAACACCTCATGAGCTCCACAATCAAACACACTCTGAGTCACACCAACACAAACAAACCCCACTGAGCTTACCCAATCACAACAACCTCATGAGCTTACACCATCACAAACCCTCACGAGCTTACCAATCAAAACACCTCACGGCTTACACCAAACAACACACTCACTGGCTCTAACCATCACAACCTTAATGAGCATAAAACCCCCCAAAACCACCCTCACTGAGCTCTAAAACCTTCCAATGGGGATATTCAATCAGGTAGGTGGGTAAGGGATGAGGTAGGATAGAGGGGAGGTGAGACAGAGGGGGAGGAGGGAGGGGGAAGAGGGGAGGTGAGGGCAGGAAAGGGGGAGGTAGTTAGAGGGGGAGGTGGATAAGAGGGGGGGAGGGAGGATAGAGGGGAGGTTGGAGAGGGGGGAGGTGGGAGGGGGGTAGGATAGAGGGGGGGGTAGGATAGAGGGGGGGGGTAGGACAGAGAGAGTAATATAGTAAGGTTAGAGGGTAGGATAGTAAGGGTAGGATAGTAAGGTTAGAGGGTAGGATAGTAAGGTTAGAGGGTAGGATAGTAAGGTTAGAGGGTAGGATAGTAAGGTTAGAGGGTAGGATAGTAAGGTTAGAGGGTAGGATAGTAAGGTTAGAGGGGGTTAGGTAGTAAGGTTAGAGGGTAGGATAGTAAGGTTAGAGGGTATAGTTATAGTTTAAAGGGTTTAAAGGGGGAGTTGTAGGTTAGAGGGTAGGATAGTAAGGTTAGAGGGTAGGATAGAGGTTAGAGGGGTAGGATGTAAGGTTAGAGGGTGGATAGTAGGTTGAGGGTTGAGGGTAGGTAGTAAGGTTAGAGGGGGTAGGATGTAAAGGTAGAGGGTGGATAGTAAGGGTAGGATAGTAAGGTTAGAGGGGGAGGGATAGTAAGGGTAAAGGTAGTAAGGTGAGGGTTTTGTATGTAAAGGTTTGAGGGTAGGATAGTAAAGGTTTGAGGGGTAGGGTAAAATTTAAAGGGTTTGAGGGTTAGGATAGTAAGGTTAGAGGGTGGATTAGGTTAGTAAGGTTAGAGGGTAGGATGAAGGTTAGAGGTGTAGGTAGTAAGGTTAGTAGAGGGTTTAAAGGGTAGGATAGTAAGGTTAGAGGGTAGGATAGTAAGGTTAGAGGGTAGGGTAGTAAGGTTAGAGGGTAGGATAGTAAGGTTAGAGGGTAGGATAGTAAGGTTAGAGGGTAGGAGGATAGTAAGGTTAGAGGGTAGGATAGTAAGGTTAGGGGTTAGGTAGTAAGGGTAGGATATAAGGTAGAGGGTAGGATAGTAAGGGAGAGGGTAGGTAGTGTAGGATGGAGGTAGAGGGTAGGATGTAAGTTGAGGGTAGGATGAAAGGGGAGGATAGTAAAGGTAGGGGTAGTAAGGGTGAGGGTGGTAGTAAGGTTAGAGGTAGGATAAGGGGGGGGTTTTAGGGAGTTTAAGGTAGAGGGTAGGATAGTAAGGTTTGGGTGGGTAGGTAAGTAAGGTTGGGGTAGGATAGTAAGGTAATAGGGTTTGGAGTATGGTTAGGGGTAGGATGTAGGTTGAGGGTTTGGGATAGTAAGGGTTTGGTAGGATAGTAAGGTTAGAGGGTTAGGAGTAAAGGTTTGAGGGAGGTAGTAAGGTTTTTGAGGGTAGGAAAAAGGTAAAGGTATATTGAGGGTAGGATCTAAGGTAGAGGGTAGGATGTTTTGGGTTGAGGGAGGGTGGATATAAGGTTTGAGGGTAGGAAGTTAAAAGGGTGTAGTTAGAGGGTTAGGATAGTAAGGGTGAGGGTTTGGATATCGGTTAGAGGGTGGGGGTGGGTAGGTAGAATTAGAGGGGAAAGGTGTAGGTAGGGTGGTAGAAGGGGAGGTGGGATAGAAGGGGGTGGGTTAGGGGGGGAAGAGGGGTGGGGGGGTGGATAGGATAAGGTGGGAGGGTTAGACAGATGAGGGGGGGGTGGGGCTGGGGGGGGGTGGAAGAGGGGGGTGGGTAGGACAGGAGGGGGGGTGTGGGTAGAAAGGTAGGGGTGGGGGGGTTAGGTGAGGAGGGGGGATTGTAGGTTTAGGAAAGGGGAGGGGGGTTAGGGAAAGGTAGAGGTTATTTTGGGAAGTAGGGGGATAGAAGGTGGTTTTTGGGTAGAGGTTAAAGGGGTAATAGTAAGGTAGAGGTTGGGTAGGATAGTAAGGTTAGAGGGTAGGATAGTAAGGTTAGAGGGTAGGATAGTAAGGGTAGAGGGTAGGATAGTAAGGTTAGGGTAGGGTAGGATAGTAAGGTTAGAGGGTAGGATAGTAAGGTTAGAGGGTAGGATAGTAAGGTTAGAGGGTAGGATGAGTAAGGGTAGGATAGTAAGGTTAGAGGGTAGGATAGTAAGGTTGAGGGGTGTAGGTAAGGGGAGGTAGTAAGGTTGAGGAAAGGGTAGGGTAGGTAAGGTTAGCGGGTAGGTAGTAAGGTTAGAGGGTAGGATAGTAAGGTTAAGAGGATAGGATAGTAGGTTAGAGGGTTAGGATAGTAGGTAGAGGGTAGGATGTAGGTAGAGAGGGGGGTAGGAAGTAGTAAGGTAGAGGGTAGGATAGTAAGGTTGGGGGTAGGTAGAGGTAGGGGTAGGATAGTAAGGGGGTGGGGTAGGGATAAGGGGGTGGAGGTAGGATAGTAAGGGTGGAGGTTTGGGAGGTAGAAGGGGTAGTAGGGGGAGGGTAGTAAAGGGTTTGAGGGGTAGAGAGGTAAGGGGTTTGAGGGTGGATAGTAAGGTTAGAGGGTAGGATAGTAAGGTTAGAGGGTAGGATAGTAAGGTTAGAGGGTAGGATAGTAAGGTTAGAGGGTAGGATAGTAAGGTTAGAGGGTAGGATAGTAAGGTTAGAGGGTAGGATAGTAAGGTTAGAGGGTAGGATAGTAAGGTTAGGGGGGTAGGTAGTAAAGGGTTTGAGGGTAGGATTTTAGGATAGAAGGGAGGGGGATAGTAAGGTTAGGGGTTTGGATAGTAAGGTTCGAGGGTAGGATAGTAAGGGGTTTGGAGGGTTTGGGTAGGTAGGTTAGAGGGTAGGGATGTAAGGTAGGGGGATATAGGTTAGGGGGGTAGGATGGGGGGAGGTTAAGGTGTATAGTAGTTAGAGGGTTAGGATGAAGGTTAGAGGGTAGAGAGGAAGGGTAGGTTTAAAAGGTTAGAGGGTAGGGTGTAAGTTTGAGGAGGTAGTAGGTTTGAGGGTAGATAGTAAAGGTTTTGAGGGTGGTTAGGTAGTAGGTTAGAGGTAGGTGAGGGAGGGGTTATAGGGAGGGTTTTAGGATAGTTAAGGTTTGAGGTAGGAAGTAAGGTTAGAGGGTAGATGTAGGTTAGAGGGGTTTAGGATGTAAGGTTAGAGGGTTTGGATAGTAAGGGTGGATTTAAGGTTAGGTAGGTAGGGTTACGATAGGATGTAGGTTTGAGGGGGTAGGATAGTGGTTGGGGGGTAGGGGTAGGTTTAAGGTGTAGGGGAGGTATGAGGGTTAGGATAGTTTGAGGGTGGATAGTAAGGTGGTAGGAGGGTCGATAGTAAGGTTTAGGGGTTAAGATAGTAGGTTAGAGGGTTAGGATAGTAAGGTTAGAGGGTTAGGTAGTAGGTTGAGGGTAGGTGATAGAGGTTACGGGGAAATAGGGTAGGTTGGAATAGGTTAAGGGGTAGGATAGTAAGGTTGGGGAGGAGTAGGTAGTTAAGGGTTAGGATAGTAAGGTTTGGGGGTAGGATAGTAGGTTAGAGGGTAGGATAGTAAGGTAAAGGGGTAGGGATAGTAAGGGTAGGATAGTAAAGGGAGAGGGTGGATAGTAGGTAGAGGGTAGGTAGTAAGGGAGGGGGGTGGTAGTAAAGGTTAAGGGTAGGATGTAGAGGTTTGGATAGGTAAGGTTAGAGGGTAGTAATTTGTAAGGTTAGAGGGTGGATAGTTTAAAGGGTTTGAGGGTAGGTAGTAAGGTTTGAGGGTAGGTATTAGGATAGTAAGTTAGAGGGGTGGATGTAAGGAGAAAGGTAGGATAGAGAGGTAGGATGAAGTTAGAGGTGATAGCGGGGGGTAGGGTGGATGTGGTTTTTGGGGTAGGATGGGAAGGTTAGAGGGTGGATAGTAAGGGTAGGTAGTTTTGGTTAGAGGATGGTAGTAAGGTTGGGTAGGATATAAGGTGGGGGTGGATTGTAAGGGTTAGAGGGTTTGGTGTGGTTTGGTGAGGATAAGGTAAGGGTTTAGGATAGTAAGGTTAGAGGGTAGGTAGAAGGTACGGTTTTGATAGTAAGGTTAGAGGGTTTGGGTAGATAGTAAGGTTAGAGGGGGAGGTTGGAGTTAGGTTAGGGGGGTAGGTGTAGGTTAGCGGGATTCAGGATTTTGGTAGGATGGTTAGGGTAGATAGTAGGAGAGGGTAGGAAGTAGGGGGTTTGTAGGGAGGATAGCTAGGTTGAGGGTAGGGGTAGTAATAGTAAGGGGTTAGGGGGGTAAGGTTCCGGATTTGTAAGTTTAAGGTGGTGTAAGGTTAGAGGTGGTAGTAGGGGAAAGTAGACGGTTTGGATGTAAGTTAGAAAGGGGAGGATAGTAAGTTTGAGGGTTCGGATGTAAGGGTGTTTAGAGGTAGGGGTAGATGTAGGAGGTTAGATGGTTAAGGTAGGGAATTAAGGTTAGGGGGGGTGGGACAGGATTAGTAGAGGGTAGGTGGCCTGGTTAACGGGTAGATAGTAGACGGAGGCTGTAAGGTGCATGTGTTAAGGGTAGTAGTAGACGGATGGCTGTGGTGCCATGGTACCCGGGTAGTTTGTAGAAGGGTGGGTATGGTGGCCAGTGTTACCCGGGGGAGTAAGTAGAGGATGGTTTGGTGGCCATGGTTTCCGGGTAGAGTAGAGGATGGCTGTTTTGGTGGCCTGTGTTACCTGGGTAGTATAGTAGACGGGTGGGTTGGTTGGGCCCGGTTACGGGTGTATGTAGCGGGGCGGGGGGTGGCCGGTTCCGGGAGATGTAGACGGAGGCTGTTGGTGGGGCCTGGTACCCGGGTGTAAGGGGTGCTGTGGGGCCCGGTTACCTGGGTAGGTTTTTGTAGAGGATGGGTTGGTGGCCTGTGTACCTGGGTGATATAGAGGATGGTGGGGGGTGGTTACCGGGGGAAAAGTAAAGGGGCTTTGGTGCATGTGTTACCTGGGGGGTATAGTGACGAGGTGTGTGGTGGCCCTGTTTACCGGGTTTTATAGTGACGGATGCTTTGGTGGGCCCTGGTATGGGGAATGCGGGGGAGTGGTGGCCTGTGTTTGGGGAAAATAAGGTGGTGTTGGGGGGTGGTTTCCAAATTTTAAACGGAGGTTTCCATTTTTCCCAAAAAACACGGGGGGCCGGGACCCTGGGTTAATAAAAACCCCCCCATGGTTTTCCGGAATTTTTTGCGGGTGGGTTTGGGGCCAGGGTCGGGGAGAGTGGGGGTGTTTTGGGGGCTGGTACCTGGGTTTATTGCGGGGGCTGGGTCAGTTCCTGGTTGTTTTTAACAGGGGGTGGGCCAGGCCGGGGGAGTTATACGGAGGGGGTTCCAGGGCCGGGAAAGGACACTGTTTCCCAATGTTTACCGGGGATTAAAACTGGTTTTCCATGTTACCGGGGGGTTAAAAGGTTTTCCCGGTACAGGGGGGTTTGTAACGGTCGTTTGGGGGGGGTTTCAATTGTCCCACCTTTACCCGGGGGGTTTTAAACCACTTTTGGGGCCGGCCGGGTAAATAACTGGGGTTTTTAAAAAAAAAAAAAAAAAAAAAAAAAAAAAAAAAAAAAAAAAAAAAAAAAAAAAAAAAAAAAAAAAAAAAAAAAAAAAAAAAAAAAAAAAAAAAAAAGGGGGGGGGGGGGGGGGGGGGGGGGGGGGGGGGGGGGGGGGGGGGGGGGGGGGGGGGGGGGGGGGGGGGGGGGGGGGGGGGGGGGGGGGGGGGGGGGGTTAAACCCGCCCTAAAAAAACGTTTTCCCCCACAAACCCCCCGGTTCCCCGCCCCCACACCGTTTTACACAACCGTTACAACCAATTTCCCCAACCTTTTTACACCCCACCGTTAAAAACAATAACCAAATGTCGTGGGCAGCCAGGTGGACTCCCGTTGGTGTGAAGAAAATACACCTGGCCCTTGCACCGTGGTGCGCTGCTCTGTAACACACATTACACAGAAAGGTCACACCCCACACATACACACAAAACACACACACAAAACCACACACGCCCTGCACCAAAGGTTTTGCTGCTCAATAACACACACACACACCCAAACAAACACTCTTTTACAGTATCCCTCAGGAGATCAGGTGATTGGTTGCATTTCGGCGGGGGTTTTGAGGGGGGGTGGGTGTGTCTTGGGAATCCTGGCCTTTGATTCGCTGAGCCTGGAGCCGGTTCTCCTGGTTGGGTGAATCCAGTGGACAGGTCCCGCCCCAGCGGCGCCCGTGGGGTTGAGTACGGCAGCGGCTCCTCACTGAAACAGCCCTCAAAACAGGCCTACACCCCACCCCACACCTGTTACACAAAACCTGTTACACACTGTTAAAACCTGTTACACACTACACCGTACACGCTACACCTGTTACACACTACACCTGTTACACACCTGTTACACGCTACACTTGTTACACGCTACACCTGTTACACGCTACACCTGTTACACACTACACCTGTTACACACCTGTTACACGCTACACCTGTTACACACTACACCTGTTACACACCTGTTACACGCTACACCTGTTACACACTACACCTGTTACACGCTACACCTGTTACACACCTGTTACACACTACACCTGTTACACACCTGTTACACACTACACCTGTTACACACCTGTTACACGCTACACCTGTTACACACTACACCTGTTACACACCTGTTACAACTACACCCGTACACACCTGTTACACGCTACACCTGTTACACGCTACACCTGTTACACGCTACACCTGTTACACGCTACACACCTGTTACACGCTACACACCTGTTACACGCTACACACCTGTTACACGCTACACCTGTTACACGCTACACCTGTTACACGCTAACCTGTACACCACCTGTTGCACATAACCTGTTGCACACTACACCTGTTATACACCCGTTACAAAACTACACCTGTTACACACCTGTTTTAACGTACCACCTGTTACCACCTGTCACACGCTACACCTGTTACACGCTACACCTGTTACACACTTTACTTGTTACAAACACCTGTTACACGCTACACCTGTTACACACTACACCTGTTACACACCTGTTACACACTACACCTGTTACACACACTACACCTGTTACACACTACACTTGTTACACGCACACCTGGTTCCAACTCACATTGAGAGGGAGCCCCCAACAAACAGTGAGAGAGACCTCCAACACACAGTGAGAGAGACCTCCAACACACAGTGAGAGAGCACCTCCCAACACAGTGAGAGAGCCCTCCAACACACAGTGAGAGAGCCCTCCAACACCAGTGAGAGAGCCCTCCAACACACAGTGAGAGAGCCCTCCAAACACACAGTGAGAGAGCCCTCCAACACACGTGAGAGAGCCCTCCACACACAGTGAGAGAGCCCTCCAACACACAGTGAGAGAGCCCTCCAACACACAGTGAGAGAGCCCTCCAACACACAGAGAGAGAGCCCTCCAACACACAGTGAGAGAGCCCTCCAACACACAGAGAGAGAGCCCTCCAACACACAGTGAGAGAGCCCTCCAACACACAGTGAGAGCCCTCCCAACACACAGAGAGAGAGCCCTCCAACACACAGAAACACTGACAGATCCTCACCCCTCATTCTCTAACAGTCCTCTACAGTCGACCACAGGTCCTCCACTGCCCATACCATCTCTGGTCTGGAGACTCACTGGAACACACAGTTATCACACATTATACATACACACACAAATATACATACACAGGGTGTGATTGTGGTAATATACAGGTAATGTACAGGAACTTAAGTCCTTTTGTTCTCTTGATCTGGAATACCTCACCATCAAATGGCGACCGCATTACGTTCAGAGAGAATGTTCTTCGGTCATCGCCACAGCCGTGTATATTCCCCCTCCCCAAGCCGACACAGCAATGGCTCTCAAAGAACTACACTGGACTATGTGTAAACTGTAAAACGCTTCTACTGAAGACGCATTTATTATAGCTGGGGACTTTAATAAAGGAAATTAAAGTGCGCATTGAGGACTCTGGGTCATTGCTACTCTCCCTTCCGGGACGGCTACAAAGCCCTCCCCCGTCCTCCCTCCGGCAAATCAGATCACACCTCCATTCTGCTCCTCCTTTCCTATAGGCAAAAACTTAAACAGGAAGCACCAGTGGTAAGGACTGTTCAAATCAAATCAACATTTTATTTGTCACATGCCCTGAATACAACCTTACCGTGAAATGCTTACTTACATGCCCTTAACCAACAATGCAGTTCAAGAAATAAGAGTTAAGAAAATATTTACTAAATGAACGAAAGTAAAAAATTAAATAAAAAGTAACATATATATATTTTACATTCACATTTACATAATTTAGCAGACGCTCTTATCCAGAGCGACTTACAAATTGGTGCATTCAATTTATGATAGCCAGTGGGACAACCACCGTTTTATTTTATTTTTTATTTTTTATGGGGGGTGGGGGAAGAAGGCTATATACAGGGGGTACCGGTAACGAGTCAATGTGTTGGGGTGCAGGTTAGTCGAGGTAATTTGTATACGTACAGTGCCTTCGGAAAGTATTCAGACCCCTTGACCTTTTCCACATTTTGTTACGTTACAGCCTTATTCTAAAATTGATTAAATCGTTTTTTCCCCCTCATCAATCTACACACAATACCCCATAATGACAAAGCCAAAAAAAAATGTTTTTTAAAAAGAAATATCAAGTAAGAAATGTCAAGTATTCAGTCCCTTTACTCAGTACTGTGTTGAAGCACCTTCGGCAGCGATTACACCCTCAAGTCTTCTTGGGTATGACACTACAAGCTTGGCACACCTGTTTTTGGGGAGTTTCTCCCATTCTTCTCTGCAGATCCTCTCAAGCTCTGTCAGCTTGGATGGGGAGCGTCGCTGCATAGCTATTTTCAGGTCTCTCCAGAGATGTTTGATCGGGTTAAAATCCGGGCTCTGGCTGGGCCACTCAAGGACATTCAGAGACTTGTCCGGAAGCCACTCCTGCGTTGTCTTGGCTGTGTGCTTAGGGTCGTTGTCCTGTTGGAAGGTGAACCTTCGCCCCAGTCTGAGGTCCTGAGCGCTCTGGAGCAGGTTTTCATCAAGGATCTCTCTGTACTTTGCTCCGTTCATCTTTCCCTCGATCCTGACTAGTCTCCCAGTCCCTGCCGCTGAAAAACATCCCCAAAGCATGATACTGCCACCACCATACTTCACCATAGGGATGGTGCCAGGTTTCCTCCAGACGTGACGCTTGGCATTCAGGCCAAAGACTTCAATCTTGGTTTCATCAGACCAGAGAATCTTGTTTCTCATGGTCTGAGAGTCTTTAGGTGCTTTTTGGCAAACGCCAAGCAGGCTGTCATGTGCCTTTTACTGAGGAGTGGCTTCCGTCTGGCCACTCTACCATAAAGGCCTGATTGGTGGAGTGCTGCAGAGTATGTTGTCATTCTGGAAGGTTCTCCCATCTCTACAGAGGAACTCTGGAGCTCTGTCAGAGTGACCATCGGGTTCTTGGTCACCTCCCTGACCAAAGGCCCTTCTCCCGCGATTGCTCAGTTTGGCCGGGCGGCCAACTCTAGAAAGAGTCTTGGTGGTTCTAAACTTCTTCCATTTAAGAATGATGGACGCCACTGTGTTCTTGGGGACCTTCAATGCTGAAGAAATGTTTTGGTACCCTTCCCCAGATCTGTGCCTCGACACAATCCTGTCTCGGCACTCTACGGACAATTCCTTCGACCTCATGGCTTGGTTTTTGCTCTGACATGCACTGTCAACTGTGGGACCTTATATAGACAAATCATGTCCAATCAATTGAATTTACCACAGGTGGACTCCAATCAAGTTGTAGAAACATCTCAAGGATGATCA